ATAGCTCAATCAATGAAGTTTCAGCTCATGTACTTCTTGACTCCAGATCTGCTCTCTGAATTGATGTTAGTAATTCACTCTATTCAAACTCAATTGAGGCAATTGACAAGGTCAAAGAAATATAAGCAATACAGAAAAAGATTTAAAAACAACTAAAGAAGATTAAAACTACACAATAGATATACTATAACTTCAAATATAGTATAAAGCACTTCTATGTGGGGGACTGAATGCTTCTCAATGTAAAGAATTTCTATATGCTCTGTCTCACTAGAAAATTGAATCATAAATTTGTTGACTCTTTCAAATCATTGAATCTTAAAATACATAGGTGTATAAATTCTCTCTTTCACACTTAATATGTAATATTCATTCTGTCTTTCATATCTCACTGCTTGAATTTTACAAAATGAGAAATGATACTACTTCACCTCCAGCATCAGAGCTAATGAATGATGAGAAAGAATTTCAAGTTGAGAAGATATTAAAGAAAGAGAAATACCAGAGTAAAAAATAGTGTTATGTACACTGAAAGAGCTATAGACCTTCAGATGATATATGAGAATTTCTTGAAAATATTCAAGAGACTGAGATATTTAATATTTTTGAATAATAGAAATTACAGTAACAAGTGCATCAGACTCACTCTGAAAAGTGCACTAAGCTTTAATTCTTTCTCATACATGCACTTTTTTTATTACTTTTTCTCAAATAGATTTTTTTTATATGGTTTTAATGAGGTAAGCAAGGCATCAAAAATTATCAAGTTTTCAGAAAAAATTTATTTCACTATTATCTGAACAAGTCAAGAACTCAGATGCACATCTCTAGTTTCTTCTGACTTAATTTCTATTTATAATTATCACAATCATTATATGCTGCTCAGGAACAGTAATTTTTTTTTCTTCAAGCTCAATACTCTTCTTCTCAGTTAATTCAGAGTTTTTCATCTCACACACAACTTCTTTCTCTGCATTCTTTCACTTCTTATTATCAGAGAACACTATTAATATACTTGCAGTCTTAATCTGATACTGAGTATGATGAGCAATATTAATCAAAGTAGCAGTATAAGCTTTTATTAAATGAATAACATGAGAGAAAGTTGTCAATACTGCTATCAGATACAGCAGTTTAACTTAATAATATGAGACTTTCACTAATCTCACTTACTCTGTAAAGAACAAAAAACTCTGAAGAATAAGCAGTCAATTCAACTTAGAAGAGAGAGCAAGATAGATAAACAATTATCAATCATCATAATAAGTAAAGAAGCTAAAAATATATTATACTCACTTGAATATATGATTTATGCACAAAGTGACAAGGATCATAGTATTTTTCACAGCAGAATTAATTACACATCACAGACAAACTACTCAGCTTGAGCAAGCATTACTCACAGAGAATATCTATAAGATAAAGTTAGTTATATAATCAAATAATCATAAGCTATGACTCAGTAGATCTGTCAAACTATCATCATATATGTGATGATATCAAACATACTAAAAAACAGAAGAGTTTACTCAAAGAGTGCAGAGATTGATTTTGTTATAATGACAGAAACAAGTAAGAAATGAGAAAAGCTTCAAGATCAGAGATAGCAGTAACTACAAGAAATATATAATGATTCTAATTGTGAGATTGTAAAGAAAGAAAAGTTCAAAGAGTAAAAGATATTTTCTTTCTTTATTCTTATAGCAATAAATACTTATATAATAATTATCTCACATAATTAGTTCCTCAACATCACTGAATAAGCACTATAAATATTATTTTTTATATTAATAAATACTATATAGCTACATCTTTATATTTAAAATTAATTGCCTTTCAGAGCTGCTAAGATCAGTGTCTATGAAAAAGAAGGCAACTGTGATATCAAGACTCTCTATACTAGCTTTTTGTTCTCATACTGCTTATCATACTGCTTATCAAAGCACTTTAAAATCAGATTCTTTAGATTCTCACACTCAATTACTAAAGCACTTATTTTTATATTGCTTATCAAAGTATTGTAGAATCAGCACCTTTTAAAGAATCAGCATTATCTCAAAATTCAGCATTCAGAATCAATATAAATCAGCATTTCTCAAAAATTAGTTCTTTAACATCAGCATTTTCTGAAGAATAGAATCAGTACTTTATGAAGATTTAGATCACTGTATTGCTAATTTCTTATTTTATGAAAGATTAGAGATAAAATCTATTACTACTTATTTATATATATAAATACTCTGAATCTTTAAAGTTTCTTCAAGAGATTCAGTGATTAACTACTATTCAATTCTACATATATATTTCATTCATTGCTATTTTCTTTCCTCTATAACGTTTGCAGTGTCTATACACTTACCCTTTTACAATCTTAATTATAAATCTTCTTATGCTTTCTTTTGACAATTTGTTCATCTATCTTAGTATCTTTACAGTCTAGACTTTAAGAAAAGGTAATGAAATGATGTAGAACAGACTTATATCTAATCTTCTTGACAGTGTAGTTGCTATAAACTAGATAATCAGTAATTATAATTATTTACACAGCAGTGAACAAATCTGCAATTACTTTGTGTATGAATAACATATAAATATGACAATTACCTAGCAACTGTGCTAAGAAAATAAGCTACATAAATAGAGTTTTTCTTCAACTCATCTTTTAAAAATCATTTTAGTATTTACTTAAATAGCTTATCTAGCTAGCAATCAAACATCTGTTCATTTGCGCCTAGATTGAAGTCATGACACTAGTCTGAGAAGAGGTGTTGAAGCCTAGACTTTCTATTATGAACTAGTACATCATATAGTAGTATATAGCATCTCTGAAATAAATTATCAATACAATCACTTCAAATGTTCAACATTTACCAGAGTTGCAGCTATTTTAATCACGTGCCTTACACTCATCATAATATAGAGTTTATTGTGAGCATTGAATCAAATCATCTTGATTTTGATAAAGCACTTAATCGTACTACTGCGCAACTCACATCTCATATAAATGCATCACATCAAAATGATAAAAATATCAAAATGATAAAAATCTTGTAATTTTATCATATTTATCATCTTCATCAATTAATAGCTCATCACAATGTCAAATAAAAATAAGAATATTGAAGACTATATTTAAAAAACTATTACTTATAATCAAAAAAACTCAAATTTTAAAATACTATCTCTGTTATAAGAATTTGAGATTTTTTATCAATGTCTCTGAGTGTATATCAATGAAAGAAATATGAATACTGCAAATATTTCATTTAACAAGAGATTAAATAAAAGTTAGAAAAATGTAATTAAATAATAAATTAAGCTACTTGTTGAAAATAATTATTCTTTCACAGTTAAATACATTAAAGATTTTATGAATTCAATGCTCAAACATCAGTATATAGATTCAACTATCTTCTCTTTAAAAGTCAGCAAGATATAAACTTATAGATTTATTGAACATCTATTTGAATATAAAAGAATGAAATAGAAGTCAATGAATTCAAAGAGAGTAACAGTTGAAAATATTAAATATATTAATATATAATTTAAATGTCTTCAGATTCTATTTGAGCAATATCAATTTTATGTCTGTAATATATATAACTTCAATGAAATTGAATTTCAAGAAGAGTAAAAACATGAAGAATGAGTTATAACTACTTTTAAAGAAGCTAATTTCATCATTTCTTTATTCTTTTTAAAAATTTAATTATAGATATTGAATATATTTATAAATAATTATATTATTTTATTATTATTAATTTTAATCTTCAAAATATATTTGAAGAATTGATATATATAGATAAATTTACTCAGCAATTATAGAATTACTATATCAGATATTGAATTTACAAATGATGAGATTGAATTTAAATGACTTAAACATTTCAATATTGCTATAAAAAATAGATAGAAGAGAAATTATTAATTATTTTTAATAAATAATTATAAATCTTATATCACTAAGAAGTTCATACAATATACAGATTTTAATAAGATAATTTTATATAAATTTTCATCATATATTACTCATTTGCTATAATCTCTAAATAGTTTATTATTTTAACAATATAAATATTATTATTTAAAAGCAGTCAATTATACTGCATATTATGATTTTATTAATTATAAAAAACAACAGTTTCTACAAAATCTCTCAATTATGTAAAAGCAGATCTTTAAATCTAATACAATAGCTGCAGAATCAACTCAATGTGATATATATTTATGAAATTCTGACTGAGTTCTTGATATTTCTAAGCAGTAAATCTCATTAACTCCTCTATTACATATTTATGAAGATGAGAATGATTTAGATTATATATCTATCTTTTTTCTTAACTATTTTCATCAAAAACAATTCAAAAGCTGAAACATTATATTATTATTATAAAAAATATTATATAAATTATTAGAAATACTCTCAAATTGAAATTACTTATTTTGACATGTCATTTGAACATGATATTCAAAGCAAGTCTAATTTATGTAAAACTTAATAAGCAATAGATCATTGAATTAAAGAACTTTTTCAATGTCAATAAACAATACAGAGCTAAAACAACTCATTGTCAGATTCAAGTACAAAAAGTCCTCACTATTAAAGATGTCAATAGAAAAATCAAGCAGTGTAAGAATAATAAAGCTGAAAAAAATTAGAATAAGAAGTGATATAAACTTGAAGTTGATTTTATAAAAATTGACAATAACTCACTCACATCACTGACAAAAGAGGAATTAAATTGATTTAGAGATGACACACATACTGGGAATGATGTTCATAATCTTTTTATTATAGATTAGCTACTGGTTGTTGATATAGAGTGCAATAATGAGGATGTGATTCAAGATTTTTATCATTTTGGTGTTTTTATTGTTTTGGTGTGGGTTGCGCAGCGGCACGATTAATAGTTAGTGCTCCTCTACCTAACTACTCAGCATTCATATCGAGAGTGGAAAAGTTAAAAATTGATTCAGGAGCGAAATTACGGAGAAGAATATCAGGAAGCATTCAATAGAGAAGGTACCTCTATAAAATCCCCAGGCATCATCTTCGCTACCTGCTTCTGCAGACTCTTTTCAAACCGTTCCACGCCGTTCTCCTGGACATGCAATTTGCCTCGCTTTAACTCATACACAGCCCACCACCTAGATTTGTCTTCACCCAGTTCCACAGTCATATCCACCATCACCACATCCATCACCAGATTGTGTGAGATCTCGTTTACCCTCAACAACACCTCTTAACTAGGTAGCGATTATGAGAAATGATGAGTATCGTCACGAGCATCGTATCGGTCGTATGCCTCAGATCCCTGCAGACCGCCGCTACGGCCGTATGCCTCACGTATGACTTAAGGTCGCGTACGTTCGCACACGTATATATATTTCATTCTTTCCTCGCTGTTTTTTCTCTTCTTCTTTTGAGGGATAGTCATCATATAGATTAGCTAGTTATTATGAATACTACTATCTTATGCCTGCTACGTTCTGACTCTCGTCATAGTATCACACTGCTAAAAGATGAGAGATTTTCTGCCAGCGCAATCACAGAATGGAAGACAAGATGGGTTGTGATTTCGTCCAGGACTAACAAGTGTGGTAGATCCAAGACAATCCTGGCCATCGCCAGTTAAACCTATAGACACAATACACCGTAAATGTTGGCAGCAATTTCTGCTTGCATGAGCAAGGATCTAATACTAACGAATTCCATAATGACCAATTGGCCTCCTGATAACTGTGGAATGGGGACATCTGATGCTCTCCTGCCTTGTTAGACCCAATGAACTCAGCAAACTATGTACTTCACCCTCCACAAGGTTCCCGTCGGCATCCCGGGATATCAGTTAAAGCCCCGTTAAACAAGTTCAGATTGACCAACTGCCTTGTGTTCGTCCACGGAATGTTGAGAGAAGTAACCGACGGTTGCTCTAGGATGTTCGTGACACAGTAATCTGCGACGGCTGCATTGAGCCTACGAGGACCCGTATCAAAGTTGTTTTCCCACTCCCATTGAGACTCATTTTCCCGACTCGGTCTCCAATTTGGATTACAAGATCAATTCCATTCCTTAGCTCTCACCTGCACACCTATTCTCTCATCTACTTTCTTCTGACGAGATTTAGCCATGCGGAGTTTGCCATCATCACCAGTTTTCTTGCCCATTTTTATACTGCTTCGTATCGATGCTTCCATGTGCGCAATTTGGTGATCCTGCGCTTCTTTCATCCGACCCCAGAAGAGCTTCTGGGCACCCAAATTCTCTTCGTACGCCGAAAGGTTGCCCTTGAAGTATGACAACGTCTTATCCTTCAATATGACTGTTTTCTCACAGACACTGTTCAGGATGACTCTGTCATGGGATACAAATAGCATGATCCTGTCATCGCCCACCTTTTCGCAAATGAGAAAAACAATTCTCGAACCAAACGATGCCAAATTGGTCTAGAAAATTTGGTAGGCTTATTGAGAATCATGATGTCTGTTTTCTGATCAGGATTCCGGCGAGCATGCAACGCATGCGCCAGCCGCCTGAGAGTGACTCAAAACGGTTGTTCGAAAGCAGTTGTTTGAACCCAAGACCTAGGAGCACCCTTCACGCTTCTGCCTCAATATCAGTAATTTTCATCTGTGAATAAATATGGGTTAACATGGTTGTGCTAACAATTTGTGACCGGCATACCTCTTCGTATTGGCACCGCAATTCATTCAGGAGATCCACTGCTCCTTGCGTCTCCTCCTGAAACTCAGAAGGATTCGTCTTTGTTCTTTTTATGCCTAGGTCTTATTAGTTCTCATCCTTTTCCCATCTCGAATCTAGAACCTAATAGCATATGGAATAAACTTCTCACAGCTTCACAGATTCCGAAACCCCCCTTTCAACTATTTTCAGATCCTTCCTTGCTTACATCCCGCGACTTCCGCTCCTCAAGCTAACATTCTTTTGTGCGGGAAACAACTCTCGTTCCAGCTCCTCATGGCGAAGCTGTCGGGTTGCTCTCACGGGTTCCCAGGGATCCTCCGTCTCTTCTAAAACATGCGAGAGCATTTTCATGTTGAGAAGAAACACAGAGTGTTTATGCTCAATCAGTCTGCGATAGGATTAAAATAATGAAGTAGTTGTGACATACCCCTGATCTTCCTCTCAATCTCCTTTGTCAATCCATCCCACCTCACGATTTACTTTAAGATCGTATTCCCACCAGACTTTTCCAGGATTTTGTCATTGCAAAGTTTGCCAGATGAGACCGGCTCATCCTCAGTTTGTTGGAGAATAGATGCTCGCAAATTATCAGGGATACCAGGAATAAGTTTTTCAACAATTGCACGCAAAATCGCTTGATAGAACGAAGCAACATAAAGCCAAACGAGTCAGTCAACCAACCCTTCAGTGGCACAGGTCCCACCCAGTTGATTCATTTAACAAACCTATGCCGTATAACACCGTAATATGGAGGGATCGAGGACAAAGGACGATAAAACAATGGTTCTCAACTAACTAGATTTCCCCGTCCTGTTTCTTCCCACGAACCCAGAGAACACCTGCTTTGAGATGTAGGTCTGCAATGGACAGAATCTCAATTCCATCATTTTTGGTTTTCAATATAGTACGAGATTTGGCTGATTTGTTTTTTGTCGCATCTGACGCAGATGCAGTTGAGGGGTTGGGATCAATTGGGACGATGGTTATATTCAGGTCATCTATATCGATCTGTAATGTGCTGTTAATTAAATTATATGCATAAATCAGATAAATCATGAGAAGACCTGTGTGAGGTAGAAAAGTATTACCCCTCTTGCATCTTTATCATCCCGCACATGAAACCTGGTCTGTTTGCAGGTGGCAATGATAGAGGAAGTTTTCGGAGACACAGCATATGAGCCATGTTGAATGTCAGTTTCTTGATATTAACGATATCAGGTATTGAACTGAGGGAGTTTTAAAGGAAAGGTTTATCCAGCAGCTGTCAGGTTTGTATTTCATTCATCTTGATCACGGTTTACGCGGTTGTTTGTTAGCTATACAATAGTTATGTACCGTGATGGCAGTGGGGATGCCAACACCTCGCCTGTTTTTGATTCTATTATCACTGAAGACTCTTTCGTTGCCCAGCGTTTCGTATCTCTTGAAATCTGGTAAGTGTGAGCCGCAACCCCCCCTCCTCTTCCCCTCTCCCCAAAAAAGAGTTGTGCATGAATGTGGGCTAAAATTCTAAACAACCAGCAGCCGAAAATAACTGTCATGCTTGCAGCTACACCAGTTCGGGACTCCCGACTTGCATCCATATGGATATGGATTTCCACTGATCAAATAACTTGGAAAAATGTGAGATGATGAGATATCTTCCCAATCATATAAAGGTGACTTTTCCCACACCAATGCTCCGGGTTGGCATCCTGATCTACATATTCTAATTTTCCGGGTTCTCAGAGGGATAGAGTGTTGATTATAGATAGTTCGCGATACCGCACATTTCTTGCAAACCATGTAGTTAATAAAACTAAACACTGGCCATTTTGTCGAGCAGCTTTAGTAGGATCCACATAAACCCCTGTCCTGCTGGTTCAAACCCTACTCTCAACCCTTTTCTCTGTTCAATTTTAGGCAGGCATCTTATAAATAGAACCATCAATCCTGCGAGAGGTCCATGATCGATTTAGCCTCTTGCTTCATGCACTTCAGATGTGCACAAGATAACTCCCCAAATTTGAGGATATCGAAAAGGTCAATAATGTCCACTAGATCCACATATTCTATAGTCCACACCAGCAGGTTCCTTAATTTGGTGTCATTCGACTGATGAAGAGTTTGTAAAGCCTGATCTATCTTTTCCCAGATTCCTACTTCAGTAGCCCACATTTGCTCCGGTTGAATGGTATCATGAGGTTCCAGAACGCTGCTCAGTTCCTGTAAGATCTTTTCCAGGCCGGATACGGACGGGACACTGTCACTTCGGGATACCCAAAGCTCGAGGACACTGCAAGTAGCATCAAGTAGTTCTCCTCCCCGTATTTCAGAGAGCCGCTTTGAAACTGCGCTCAATTTAGGTAGCTCATACCCCAATAGCAACTCAAGTTCTTCCACAAACTTGGTTCTACAATGTAAGCACTCCCCAGTTGTGGGCTTAGCTTGTTGATTTGAAGTATCCCAAAAATCGCCTTTGCGATCTTCACAGTACGACTGCGCGTTCTTGTTTTCAGAGACTTCTCTGGGTGACCCCTTCCATTCTTCATACTCTTCCCACTTGAGCGGTCTGCTGCACGATGATATAATCTCCGTTCCGGATACACTACTTCCAGTGTGACATTTATCAACTCCGGTATCTTCGTCAAGCCTCCAGCAATTTACGTCACCAGGTTTATATGTCTCCGTACCCTAGCAGACATAATCATCCGAAACGGAACCACACGTGCCCCAGAAGGTTTAGCTGGGTCCGTGCGGGAAGAGCTATTCATCTGCGATGTCCTTGACGGTGGTCTAGAGAAGTTAAACCCCTGGGATTGTCCATTCCTTGCAGTCTTCTGCTTGGCCTGCGTCTTGTTTTCCCTCAGCCACCTCTGGAACGATTAAACCACCAGTTGGGGGCTCCTCTTCGTTCTCGGTGGCTCTATTTCCTGCACCATGGTCATCGATGCCTTGAGTTTAAATTCAGAGATTTAATCCAGTTATCTAACCTCTTCAGTGTCAACTCTGTTTCCGCTATGTAACCATGTTCTATCTCTTTTCTAATTTCCGTGTCTATCACGGGACCAAGATGTGACGATCTTAGCATGCCATTTTGTTGTTTCTGTGTGGACAATCGATTATTTGATCATTAACCTTTGGCAGTCTAACAACAATTTCGCGTCCTTTCGAGGAACGTAGGTCATGTTTTCGGTTGTTCGATTTTATCGAGCTATCGCCTTTGCCTTTGGGAATCGCCTGATAGAAAACCGCTTTAGATGCGTGACCCTGGGAGGCTTGTTGGAGGGCTGAAGGTAGTTGAATACTATGTTTCGATCTGGAGCTTTTCTTCATGGTCGAACGTGGTGGAAGCTTTGGACGGGTGGGGTTTGCTGAGAAAACAAATGGACTATTGGAGTTTATAATCTTTTTGCAAAGAAAAATTGTTTTGGTGGACCTAGTGGATGAAATATCATGGGTAACGCTCGCTGGGCGGCTTTGCCGTCAGGCGAAGCCAAACGTTTGTTTAGCCGGATTTAACTGATGTAGCCAGTTATACGCGGTTTCCATACTCTTGACGCCCAAAATATCATATTCTGGACGATACGACAAGTAACCTTTACTCCCCACTCTAGACATAGGCTGCTTGACCAGATACACGCCATTTTCTGATGAATCGAGTGCAGTTAAAACCTGATTAGTAACAATATTATATTTAACAAACATAGGATCGGGAGGCACTTCTTACATCATCAACGGGAACATCATGCTCTATTTCAGAATAAGCCAACCAAACTCTGATCTCCGCTCCAATGCATGTAAAACAACTGGGGGAACAAAATCATACCTGCCAGTGAACCTTTTAGAGAGATCTTCATACATCCTCAGGGCGGCCAACGCCGCATTCGCCGCTTGGCAGTAGGTAAATTGTTTCAGATGTTGGCGTGAAACTACAAGGGGATGGATCTCAACCACTGCCCAAGGAAAGCAGAGGAGTTGATTTCGAAACACAGGAGTTTACTGGTCCTTTGTCCATTTGTGAAGCCCACCAAAGGGAGAAGAGATTAAACCGGCAGAACGAAGCTCTCCAAAGCGATTGAAGTGAGAAATTCGTTACAAGCTCGGTTGATTGAAGGGAAGAGGAAATATCCTCATAAATTGTATATCCATAAGAAAAATCTGGTTTCAGAAGTTTCGCCAGGCGATTGTCGACACGATTTTCAGTATCATCCCATAAAATGTTCTTTTGCCTGGTTAGAAGAAAAGAGTTAATGCTGTTTTGGGAAGAGCTAGGGCAGGAGGGAGTTACTTACCTACAGAGAAAATTGGTCAAGAAGATCCCTACTTCTGATGGTTAGATGCCTGAAATAAACACCTTCGTCAAAGAGAGCATACCAGTGCTGTTCCGCAAGTGCGTTAAGATCCTCATAACATCTGAATACCTTCTGCAGCATGAATTGCCATTCGATATCTGTGGCGCACATTTCGACCCCATGTTGAATCTTTTTTGCTACGTTCACACCGTGGTTCATTTGAAGCTGCAAATCCTCGGCCAACACAGATGGAGTGTCGAAATCATTCATGTATGCAGACTCCGGGGGTCTAAAACTATTGTTATCGTTCCTATCCCGACCTGTTGCCAAATATGTCTGTGCCGCTTGCTCAAATCGATTTCTAATATGGACAGTCAGTCACCGAGGCACTAAAGTCCAAGAGGATTTGGTTAAATGACCGAACATGTGTTGGAAGGGTAGAGCCAGCATGTCCACCATCATCATGGGTAGGAACGGATTCGTCGTAAGTAATTCCATTGCTTTCAAGATGGTCTTTGTTGATACTGGGTTTACCAGCTGGCATCTTAAGAAGCTTTGCAACGCTGTTGCCGAACGTGAAAATGAATCGTGTGTCCAGATGCCTTCATAAATGCAAAGAGAGAGAAATGTCCTGGACCTGGGACCGCCTTAAAGGTGCGAGTTCTAACGATTCAAGTTGTTTGACTCAAAACACCTTCCAGCTGGATATACATATATATATATATATATATATATATATATATTCGCAAGGACCAGGGAGAGGAAGTCCCATGTTCAAACGGCGACTTTCAATGAGCTAAGGTTGTGCAAAGTTTCAAACTTAGATCTTACAACGTGTGGTGGCCATACTAGTTAGTTACCTCCGCTGTTTTTCATGCAAGGTTCATGGTTCAACTCATGGTGTGGGCATTGGGCAATGACTGTGAGGCTTCTAGTAGGGCCCAAGTTGACAACTTAGATGGACACAGCACCGTTAACTGCCTGAAAATGAAACCTTTGGAATGTGATGCTCAAAAAACAAAATCATTGGCTGATTGACTGACTCTGCCAAAAGGTAGTTCCACCACAATCCAAAAGTATGAACTGAATGCCAAGTTTCTGCAATTTAAATACTGAGATCCAATTCAAAACATCACAATAAAAAGCTCATTATAACAATAATTTGAACATTTGAATTCGAATTGAACATCACAATTTGGGAATAGGTATAACTAACGTACTTCACCACCTAGCGGCGGATTTTCTTTGAAAATCATCAAATATGCAACCTAACTATCTTCAAAATATTATTTTTTCATACTTTTTATCAAAATGTCTTTATCTTAAAGGATCTCATATATAGTTGGCCGTTGCTTCATATAAATTTTAAAAAAAATATATCAAAGACAAAAGCTTCAAAGATATATAAGATTTCTGAAATGATATTGTATAAATGACTTGTTGATATTAAATTACACTCATAGATATATACAAATAGTCACAAATTGACAGAAATTGAAGAGAAAACTTTTCTTAAACAATTACTAAATGCAGATAAGTAAGACTTTTCAATTCAATCATAGTTCTTATATGAAATGATACAAATTCTATTTTAAACATATATTGTTAATTCTATCATCACTATTGAAGTCAACTTGATATATAGATTTATTCAATGTCATTTTTAACTATATATACATTATAATCACTCTATATTCTATCAATAAATAAAGCAGGAAAATTCAAAGATTATAAAATAATGATTAGAGATGATACATAAAGATATTTAAGAACATAGAATTCATGAAGATGATATATAAAATTTTGATGAGACTGACTTTACAATAGGACTTTGTACAGCCTCTAAAGTCATTATTGCAGCTAAGTGCAATGAGAGATTATGTACAGCTATCCAGGAGAATTGTGAATAAATCATAATTATTAAATATATAGAATCAAAAAAGTATTTTATTCTTTTTTTCATTAAGAAATCAAGATTCTACAAGCAGAGAATGAGTGGAAGACAAAGAAAAAGACACAGAGACATGCTAATATAGGTCAGGACACTATTCTATCTACACAGGAAGGTCATGAGTGTGTTTAGCAGCTTGATATGCAGGTTGAAGCTCAGATTGAAGCTATTTCTCACCAGCAAGCTCCACCGCGCTACAGCAGCTGTGAGACTATTGAACATACTATATGCAGTTGCCCTAGTAAATAGCTATATATTCAACTATTAGATAGTCTTAATTTATTAATATTTTAAATATTTAAGTGTGTTGGTTGTTGAATATGTTGAATATTTGATGATTTTCGGAGAGAATCCGCCGCTCGGTGAAGTACGTTAAGAATGGAACGTCAATCAGCTTAGTCATCACATTAAAAGCGGTTTAACGTTAGCACTAGCAACGACAAGAACTAAAAATGGCTAGCTTATATGAAATACAAAAATTACTCAGTACCGCTTTACAGAACTAAAAATGGAACCATGTTGAAATACGTAAATATTGCGATAATCGTTTTCGGATCCCATTGAACTGGCAATGTCCACCAAAAGTCTAAAAAACTTAAGTATTGCTCGCTAGCCGTCCTCCAACAGCGCCCTACAAGACACCCAGGCTAATGATATACGAACAAGACAGCACTTCTGTTATTCCGTCTGAGTATTGCAGATATGTGTGCTCCCTTGATGGCAACAAGCTGTCCATAATTCTTGCTCTAGAAAGTCAGAGTATCATTCGGACTATCACTCTAAATGACAGTGTTGCGGGTCGCATCAGGGCGCTCCGGTGGTCAAAACCACCTGGACCTGTGATCCCTGAGCCCGATGCATTTACGCCAGATAGTCAGCGTATTCTCTGTGCGAGTGGAAATCATATTTCCGTTTGGGACTTGCATGACGAGAGCTGGTCCGCTGAAATAGAAGCAGGCGATGCGTTCAACTTCACCCTTGTCGATTTTGCATTTTCACATGATGAAGTAATCGCCTTTTCTGAATTCAACGTCCACCTTACGATCTTCTCTTTGTCAACTGGCGGTCAAAGGGTGATCAAATCCCCCAAGTTTGCGAATGTGACCGGTTATGGTTTCCGCCCTGTCACGGGCCACTTGGCACTGCTTGTAAAGCTTGATGCCAATGATACTCTGACTGTCCATGAACCTGGGACTTATGAGGCCATTGCTGCAGTAACTCTTAATACGATAGATGCTCAAGGCTTAAAATGGAGTCCGGACGGCGCGTGGCTGGCTGTTTGGGATTCAGCGAGCGCGGTGCCCAAAGTTGCTGTTTACACTGCGGGTGGGCAACATTATAGAACTTATAGTGATGTAGCCAATGACGACAGCCTAGGAGTAAAGATGATAGAGTGGAGTCCGGATTCGCGACTTATGGCGATTGGAAAACACGACGGGACGGTCACCCTGATCAACTGCAAGACAGTATGTTTTTTTCTCGATTTCCCTGTACGACAACAATATATAATGAAAAACTAACGTCATTACCAGTTTGTTTTGCAATCGGTTCTTGAAGACCCTATGTCTTTTGGGTCAATAGGTCGTGACATATACGCTGAACAACGCACCCCGATGGTCAATGGGACTGAATATATCTTAGCTCCGAAGTCCCCCTTTTTCCCATACACCTACAACATCACTGGTGGAACACGCGCCGTTTCCTCTATCGTCTTCAACCCAACTGGGGACATGATGGTAACAATCGACCAAGGGCTTCCACATATTGTCTGGATGTGGTCAATGAAAGGCCAAACTCCTACTCTCATTGGCGCATTGATCCAGAAGTCCAATATTCGACAACTACTCTGGAATCCCAAGTTTCCCGAGCTCCTTATGACCGTTAACGACGGCGATATACCCTCTGCGCACCAATGGATATGCAACCGTCATCCGAGAATCTCCCGAATACCCTTTGCAAATGCGGGGAAATTCTCCGCCTCTTGGGTCAAAGCTGACAGCAACGGGAGTGGTTTAATGTGGTTTGGGTGGCAGAGTGGGTACACTTTTGGCTATGTAACCGGAAGTGGCACAGAGTCAAGCTTTACTCCAGTTCTAAATATCGAAGGCGACCATCCCGCCTTGAGCATGGATGATTTTCCCACAACATAATGTGCGCGTTCTTCAGTTTTGATCCTTTGTTCTGATCTAATGAACTTGATTGGGCTCCTGTCGTGCAAACCGGTCTGTTCTAGGAATTAATTTGCCCAATTCCCGTCTGACAGGGATACCATCAGGTTGCCTGTACTCCGCAATTACCACGGTATGCACATGGTTGATATGAATTTTGATGTGGAAAACCGCACATGCCTAGCTTGCTACATACACACCTATAATCCCTGCCTGCGGAACATCTAGACGTTATACTTATGTCAAGGAATGAGACAATGTGTTCCCAATGCATTATTTTGACTATCCAAATGTCTTGCAGTCTTGCCAATGGTTTCTATTCCCAGAACATTTGCACATAAATAAATACATATACAGGTGATTTTACTGCGTAGAGAAACTCTAAAATTGCGGGCAGAGCTGCGATTGACGCCCGGAATTTCGATTTTTCATAAGTCTTTGTATTGTCGTTATCCATAAAACGACAGTCAATAAGTGAAATCCCTCTTTGAAAACCGCTGTAAAACTATAGCTACGACACATGTAGCAATTCTAGAAATCGAATCTGAGTATATAAAGTACAAAGCTTATTAAGATGTGTTGGGAACGTATACATAACGCCTAATTGGGACGAAATATTTGTGGTTGTTTCAGTATCCGTTTGCTTTTTCGCGAGGAAACATTGGCTTGGGTTTACTGCTGTCTTTGTGGCCGACTTGCACAAAATGGTCCTGTCGACAGTCCTGCGTTGTTCATGTGCGAAGCAGCGGATTGCCTGTTGGACACTTTCCTGGCCTTAGAGATTCTTGATACAGAGATAACCAGTTATGCTGAATCGTTGCAGGATTTCGCATCTGCCAGGTGATATAGTCGTTGTGCGGAAGGGCCCCCAATCCATCAATGTCGGGGTTTCCACACTCGTATTGTTGGTTGGGTGTTGCCGTCGATACTTCTTCTAAGTGGTCTCGCCGTACAGTGTTTTGAGGTTCGCTTTGATTCTGCTCCACCAAAATGTGCGATTGTAGTCGATCGGTCGGTCCGTCTTACCACGTTCGTGGTGACCTTGTCGTAGCACACTTCTGTTGCCTGGGAACAGCTCCAGAATCCGCATTCCTGTCACATCTCCTGCTCTGGACTCTCTGACTTAATATGCGAGTAATTTATCTGATGCTTCTTACATTCGCCTTCCTCATCAGGCTTGAAATACGCATCTCCTTCTCGTTCTAGAAACTCCTGTAGGAATGCCCGTCGCTCGGTGCTGGTACGTTTAAAGGTTGAATGCACTCTGGCCCCACCCATCACGGAATCCGAACTCCATCAACGTTTTGAGAGCAACATGTAATATCGGCGTCGACAGCAAAACACATAATATGTGTGACACCCTGCTTGGGGTGCAGGTTCGACACAGCAGAAAGAAAATCAGTGCCATAACACTTTCGAATCTCCTTTAACTCCGTGTCTGGAAATCATGTGCTTTAAAATGAGTTATAACTGACAGAGTGGCAAGCTGGATTGATTGTAGAGATTGCACGCTACAAGAACGACTATATATGGTTTAGATCAGGTCACGTGACTGGTGTGTCTGTTAGAGGTTACTGTGGAACGTCTAAAGTGGTTGTAATGGTAGCTATCTCAGGGATGCTATATACTACTATGTGGTGTGCTAGTTTATAATATAAAGCCTAGGCTCCAACACCTCCCCTTAGACTAGCTACTGCACAGACTAGCTACTGTCCTGCTCAAATCAATCATATTCATCTTCTCTGTCAATCTATGAGGACACTAAGATGGATGAATTAAGTATCAAAAAAAAGTATGAGAAGCTCTATAACTAATATCATAAGAGGATAGGTATATAGACACTGTAAGTGATATGGAGAGAAGAGAATAGTGATGAATGAAATGTATATGTAGAATTGAATAATAGCTAATAACTGAATTTTTTAAAGAAACTTTAAAGATTCAAAGTATTTATATATATGAATAAGTAGCAATAGGTTTTATCTTTAATTTTTCATGAAATGAGGAATTAGCAATATAGTGATCTGAATCTTCATGAAGTACTGATTCTATTCTTCAGAAAGTGCTGATGCTAAAGAATTAATTTTTGAAAAAAGCTGATCTGTACTGATTCTAAATGCTGAATTTTGAGATAATGCTGATTCTGTAAAAGATGCTGATTCTAAATTGCTTTGATAAGTAGTATGAAGATAAGTGTTTTAATAAGCAGTGTGATAAGTATTGTGATAGCAAGGAATTAGTATAGAGAGTCTTAGTATCATACAATTTATCTTATATTTCATATGTTATATCTATAAAAATTATTTTTTTATTTCACTTATAATCTAATTAACTTTTCAAAAGTTTATCAATATTTGAAAAAATTACTGTAAAGAATAAGTAATTTGATTAACTTGTAAATAAATTCTTTATATTTTTATTTTTACTTTTATTTTTATTTTTAGTTTTATTTTTATATCTATTTTTTAATATCTTAATATATTTTTTATTATATTTCTGTTATTTAGTGTTTACAAGATTTGAGTTCTTAAATCAGTAGTGTTTGATTATATGTTTTATATTCTTATAGTATATTAAGATCAGCATTTATGAAAGAGAGAATAACTATGATGTCAAAACTCTTTATACTAGTTTTTTACTCTTATACTGCTTATCTCACACTGCTTATCATATTACTTACTAAAGCACTTATCTTTACATTGTGTATCAAAGCACTTTAAAATTAGTATTTTTTAAAATTAATATTATCTCAAAATTCAATATTTGAAATCAGTATAAATCAATACTTATCAAAAATTAATTCATTATAATCAGTATTTTCTGAAGAATATAATCAATATTTCATTAAGAATTAGATTACTATATTACTAATTTCTTATTTTATAAAAGTTTATATATAAAATATATTATGACTTATTGATATATATAAATACTTTAAATTTTTAAAGTTTCTTTAAAAGATTCAGTAATTAGCTATTATTTAATTCTATATATATATTTTATTCATTATTATTCTCTTTTCTCTGTAGTACTTACTATGTCTCTATATCTTTTCTCTTACTATTCTAGTTATAAAGCTTCTCACACTTTTTTTGACACTTAGTTCACTCATTCTAAATATCCTCACAGTGATATTACTTACTTAATAAGAAACTATATAATATACATTAATTGAAATTATATTAATTAAGTAAAAACTTATAGATAAAAGAATAATATAAGTATTAATTCTTTAAAAAATATAATTATTACTTGTAATTAAATAATTTTTTAGTGAAATCTTCTGATTTTACTATAAAAAAAAGTTTTCTTTTATAGAATTGATATTTTTATTTTAATTTCTTTATAAATGTGACTATTTTTTCATAACAGAAAAAATTTATTAAAATCTTCTGATTTTTAGTAGAAAAAGAGTATTTTTAAAGAAAATCTGATTAAATTTATTTATTTATCTTTAATAAAATAAAATTTAAAGTAAAAATGTATTTTTATTGTAAAAATATACTGTTTAAACTATGATCTGTGAGATAATTAAATCATCATTGATAACAGAATTAGCTAGTTAACTGATATATATATATATAATGTGAGATAATATAACTATTAAATAATTATACTTAATATAAAAAATATTAAAGTTTAGATTTTCTATTATAAATTAGTATATCACATAATAGTATATAACTTTTTTGAAATAAACTATTAATATAATTATTTCAGATATTTAATAGATTATAATCTAAATAATTTTTTTTTTAAAAAAGTTATTTGTATATTATTTTCATATTCTATTTCTTCTTCTTCTTTTATTTGAGATATAAAATATTTTCTATGAGCTACATCATTGAATTACAGTAAGAATCTGATGAAAAATAACTATTTTGAAAGCTTTGATCATTAGAAATAGATTGAATCAAGAGAAAATAAACAGATATCTTTATAAGGGGCTGAACCTCTAGATTCACTCTGGCTGGCTGACTCAGCCTAGTCATCATTTGCACATGCGCACGTGATCATGCTATGTGAGCTTGCTTAAGCTTGTATTCTCATCTCATTCTTTTCTTCCCTTTCTCAAGCAATTTGTCCTTGTTATATGGGAGGACTAGCCTTTAGTTCTTAGAGCTTAATCCTCTACATTATAAATTGCTTCACTCCTTTCATTGATAGGTCACTGGGAGTCTTAATTCTGTATTATGAAGCTCAGCAAACATGCTGACATATGATAGGCTATTGAGAGTCTTAAATTCTGCATCACAAAGTTCAGTGATAGTACTGGTATATGAATAGACTGAGTTAGCAATTGTGCTAACAAACAAACAAGCAACATTGAAAATGTCTAGCTGAATGAGATAAAGTGACAGATTTGTACAATAAATACACAAATGAATCAATGTGAAGCAATGAGCAGGGACACCTTCAGCAGCTTTAAACAACAATAAATGGCCTTTCTTCAACAGCAGAAACAGGTTCAGTGTGAGAACAGAAATTTAATAGCAGCTCAGCAAGCTGAAATAGCTAATCTATGACAAGCTTTGAACATCTCAATATCAATTCTCTCTCAATTGAACTCACAATCACTCATTGCAGTCAAAAGACCAAAGACCAAGCTATCAGACTATGAGAAGTATAATGATTCTAATCTGAAGCACTATCCTTAGTAAGAGCTAAAGCTTCAATCAAAACTTAAGATTGAGGAAAAAGCTTTAGATAAAAATGAGAAATGTACTTGATATGTGTACTTAATACTGGAAGAAATGACAGCAGCTTGAGTTTACCTCTGAGTTGAGAGTAATAAGAACAAGATCAACTTCACAGTAGAGAGCTTACTGAAGCAGACATGCATGCTCTTTAGTGATTCTGCATGACAGAAAAATACTATGCAAAAGCTCAACAATCTATGACAGAGTAGAAGAGATTTCTTTGACTTTCTGCCTGAATTTAATCAGCTACTGCTGGAAGCTGGTGGTCATAGATGAGATGATCATGTTAAAAAGAGATATTTGAAATTCATTCTAAGCATGGAGCTGAGGGAAGGCATGATGGGTGTAAGAGAACTATCTTCATATGAGAATTACTGCAAGGAGCTTAGATTAGTTGATCACCAACTCTCTGAGCTTAAGACTTTAAAACAGTGATCTAAACATCATGAGGACAAATCTTCTTCAGATCAGCATCATCTAATTCATACTCTCTACTTTGTCATGCTGTTCTTGATTGATGAAACTGATTTCAAGCTTTTACTGATGATCTGATGAATCTCTCTCCTGGTGCTGTGACTTCAAGTGCTCACCACATCAAATTGATAAATCAGATAGAGGTTAATTAACAAAGAGAGCAAGGCCTGTACCTGAGATGTGAAGCTGAAGATCATATAATTAAGAGCTGCTTATTCAAATCTCTCAGACACTCTGTCACTCTCATAATAGCTAAGATGATCCCTAAGCTAGTACTGAACAATGATGATATGGATATGAGTGAGGATTCAGAAAAAGAGTAGCTTCAATCAAAAGACACTGAAAAAAGTGAAATAAGAAGCTTATGAGAAAGTAATGAAGAAGATTTAAATCTAAGATAATATTCAAATCCTTCACTGTCAATGCTTTAGTAGATAATGCCTTTTCAACTATGGTAATGATAGACAGTGAATATCATGTCTATGATCTTATTTCTCAATTCTACATTAACAAGTATAAGTTCTCATGCATTGAAATTCCCTCTGTTAAAATAACAGGCTTTGAAGTCTCCATGGAACTCTGTATGAGCATAGTAACTAGCATTCAAATTGATATAGATGATCATATAACTGAACAAGCCTTTCTCTACATGGTGAATGAGTTATATGATCATGATATGTATCTAGGTGACCCCTGGCTGGCCCAGCAAAAAATGACTATGATCTCTTATCAAAAAATTGTGAGATTTGAAGAGGGTGGCATAGAGGTAGAGCCTAGTTCAAATGCAAAAGCTGATGTGATTCTCATCTTTGCCATAAGCTTCTCTAGGCTTATGAGCACTTGAGAGAAGTGAAACATTGAGATCTTCACTGTCAATTTGACTGACATTCAAAAGACTCTAAAAGTGAAATCAAAGATTGACTCTAGAGAAAAGCTACCTGAACATTATCATGAGTTTTTAGATGTATTTGATAAAAAAGCCACTGACACTCTACCCCTACTTCATGACCCAGGTAGAGATCATGAGATTGAACTGATTAAAAAGGCTGATGATAGCATGGAACAACCCCATTGAGGCCCACTATATAATATGTCTTGAGAGGAACTACTGACTTTGTGAAAAACTCTTACAGATTATCTAGATAAGAGTTTTATTAAAGTGAGCAACTTTCCTGCAGCTGTTCTCATACTATTTGTAAAGAAGTCTGAGAGTGGGTTAAGATTCTGTATGAACTATCAAGCTCTTAACAAAATCATCTGAAAGGATCAATATTTACCATCATTAATCAGTGAGACTTTACAGTGAATTGGATAAGCTAAATGATTCACTAAGCTGAACATTATTGCAGCTTTTCACAAGATTTGAATCACAGAAGGTGATGAGTGGATAATAGTCTTTAGAATCAGATACAGGCTATTTGAGTGGCTGATTACACCTTTTGATTTGGCTAATGCTCTAAGCACATTTCAAAAATATATCAACTGGGTATTATGTGAATATCTAGATGACTTTTGCTCAGTCTATTTAGATGACATCTTGATATTTTCTTCAAGAAGCTTACAGGAGCATCACAAGCATGTACAAAAGATGCTTTATATGTCTATGAGAAGCAGACTTACAGGCAGACATCAGAAAAAGTAAGTTCAAGGTGAACAATATAAAATATCTTGAATTTATCATTGAAGCAGGCAAGGATATACAAATGAATTCAGAGAAGATTAAAGCTATTTTGGAATGAGCAACACCTACTACTCTTAAGAGTATACAAGGATTTTTAGACTTTGTCAATTTCTATAGATGATTTATCAGAGATTTCTCAAAGATCATGATCTCACTGATGATTCTTACATGCAAGAATGTTCCTTTTTGGTGGATGAGCAAGGCTGAGAAAGCTTTTAAGTGTCTAAAATTAATGTTTATCTCTGCTCCAATTCTGCTTCAATTTGACTCTAACTGTGAGACTATATTGGAAACAGACTTCTCAGGTTATGTCTCAGAAGAAGTGCTGCTACAATATGATGAGCAGAGCATTCTATGCTTATGTGCCTTCTTCTCTCACAAGCATTCACCTGCGGAATGTAACTATGAGATTCATGATAAGAAGTTATTAGCAATAATTGAGTGTTTAAAGAAATAAAATGCTGAGCTACAAAGTATAAAGGAATTCAAGATTCTCACAGATCATAAGAATCTAGAATACTTTATGACTACATGCAGACTAAATAAAAGACAGCTATGTTGAATAGATATTCTCTATCAATTCAACTTCAGAATTGATTACTGGCCAGAAAAGTTGAACACTGAACCAGATGCTCTATCACAAAGAGAGCAGAACATGTCACAGAGCACTGATGATGAGAGAATCAAGCAGAGGCAAGCTCAACTACTTAAGTTTAATGTACTGACATCTGAAATAGAATCAAGAGTGATTACTGCTAGTATGAAACCTGAGATATCTCTTCAAGCTCAGTGAAATGAGGCTCACAAAAATGATAAAATTCTGCAGTGTCTGAAGCAGACTCTTCATGAGAGAAGATTCAGATTTTCTTCTGAACTCAGCATTAAGACCTCTGTCTCTGAGTGCTCTTTAAATGAGAATGAGAAGCTTCTCTTTTGAGGTTGTAAGTGAGTGTCAGACTTTGAACCTCTTCAAACCAGGTTAGTGTATGAGGCTCATGACTCACCTCTTATCAGTCATCCTGGGTGAGAGCAAATGGCAGAAGTTCTAAGATGTGAGTTCTACTGATCAGATTATGCTGCTGATGTGAAAAGAATGATCAGGAACTGTCATATTTGCAGATCAAACACTGCATGAAGAGATCAATATCAGGGACTGCTTAAGCCTCTCCTCATTTCTGAACACATGTGACAGAAGCTTTTCATGAACTTTATCATAAACTTATCAAGCTATAAAGAATACATAAACATCATGATTATAATAGACAAACTGATCAAGAGAATTATATTAAAAGTAGTTAAGAAAACTGATACAGAGACAGTGACTAGAGTGTTTCTTCACAACATCATCTCTCAATATGACATCTTTAAGATAATAGTATCAGATTGAGAGTCAGCCTTCACAAGCATGTTTTGAACTCAAATATGTGAGAAATTAGACATTAAAAGATGACTTTTCACAGTCTATCACTCAGAGACTGACAGAGCTACAGAGTAAATGAATCAGATTCTGAAAATCTACCTACACAAGTACATTAGCTTTCAACAGAATGACTGATGTGAATGACTCTCTCTGACAGAGCTGATCATCAATAATAGAGATGCTGTCTCAACAGATGTGAGCTCATTTTTTTTAACACATCTTTTTCATATCTTCTTCATTGATATAGCTGATGTATCCTCTGTTGAAATGTCATATAATCTCATTGAGTTTGCAGATGATTATATGAGAAAGGTCTGTGAAGTGTTGAAGTAAGTTCAAGTAAAAATGATAGATGCTCAGCAATCTCAAAAGAACTATATAAATAGATGAAGAGACTCAGCTTCAAGCTTTCAACTCAGAGATAAAATCTGGTTGAGCTTAGAGAATATGAGAACTAATCACTCATGCAAGAAGTTAAATGTGAAATACAATCAATATACTATGCTAGAAAAAATAGAATCTCATACTTACTGACTGAATGTCTTACTCAGCATTCACAATGTCTTTAATGTAAAGCTTCTACATGCAGTGATAACAGATTCCTTGTCTAATCAGAGACAAACTGACTGACAGCCATCTGCTATAGAGACTCTGAAAGAATCTGAGTTTGAGATTGAGAAAATTTGAGATGAATGAATCTATCAGAGAAAAAAGCAATATCTTGTTAAATGAATAGATTGGGCTGAGTCTACATAGAATGACATGAGTCTTCTACAAGAAGTGAAGACTTTGAACACTTGAGAGGCCTCTTAGCAGGCAAAATTAAATGTAAAGAGGGCTTTAAATAGTTGTAAAGACCTGCAATAAAGAGAGAGAAGAGAGATATTATAAGAGACTGAACCTCTAGATTCACTCTGACTGGCTGACTCAGCCTACTCATTGTTTGCACATATACATGTGATCATGCTACACAAGCTTGCTTAAGTCTGTGTTCTCATCTCATTCTTTTCTTCCCTTTCTCAAGCAATTCATTCTTGTTATATAGAAGGGCTAGCCTTTAGTTTTTAGATCTTAATCCTCTACAATCTTTAAAAATATAAGCTGTAAAATTATTAAATATCTCTGCAAGTAATAGTATGAATAGAAATAAATATAATATATTTATCAATAAGTTTAGAGAAGAAACTAATTAAAAAATAAAATAAATATAAATAAAAGTAATATAAATATGATGTGATTGATGATAAAATATATGAAAATATAAAATAAATAGATTGAAATATTTATATAAAGACTAGAAAAAAACTCAGGTTTTTATTAAATACTACTAAAAATTCTATTAAAAATAAAGTTAATAAATTTTATAAAGATGTAAAGATTAAATTAAAAAAAAAATATATAGTCATTCTCACTAAAATCAATTATTTAAAATAAAAAAACTCTATTTTTATAGATATTTATTTAATTCAGATTAAAGATATTTTTAATAAATAATAAATAGTAGTTTTTATTATAATTTCTTTAAAAATTAAATTTTAAAAGAAGAAAATAAACTTCTTTATATAAGAATCTTTTAATCTTTGAATAAAACTATATATAACTTTTTAAAATCATTAAATAAAAATTTCTATCTCACAGTAATTATATAAAAGAATTTTACTTAATATTATATTATATATTATATAAAAGAATATTTTAAATTACTAAAAATTAAAAGATTTATAGTTTAAAAATAATAATTTTCACAT